AGATACACATGTGGGGGACAAATGCCACTGGTCACGCTGAGAGCCTCTGGGGTGACCCTGAGGATAACTCCTCATGCAGCTGCCCTGGTGCCAGGGGCATGTGACGCTGAAGGGAACCACTCACTGTTCCTTCTGACCTGAGGACCCCAGGAGGTGAGGATCACATGGAAACAACTCTAGGCTCCGTGAACCTTAAACAGCCCCCGAGGAGGGGCCACCATGTCCTCGGGACTGTGTCTGTCCCCTCCTTCAAGGAGGCAGGCCACCTCTTGAAGACGGAGAGGAAAAAATATTGCCTTGGATGTAAAGGGAGAACTATCTGAAAAGCCAACGGTGGGAATGGAAAAAAAAATCCTCCCTAACATTTTAAAATGCCTTATATACTATCAAAGGAAATTATCTATTATCCTGAAGTGTGCACTTGATTGAGTGTACTTGCGGAAGCATTTGGAGAATTTTAGAACATCTTAAAAAAAAAATAGAAGGCAGTCAGTGGAATAACGGGGTACATGAACGCAGTATTATGTTTGAGACAGAAAATGCCAAAGACACGTGCCTGGGTGCTGATAGTAATGCTCCCTCTCTCAAGCTCTCAAAATCACCCGGCAAAAACAACAAATCCACGAGCGGGGGAGAAGACCAACATTACCATCTTTCTTTAAGACCTCACTGCACACCTTGTAGACAATTTCTTCTTTATACCAACACAGAGACACATTCCTCAAAAGCAGGTTCAAAATTTGGAGAAGAAATGACCCAAGAATTAATTAACTAAATAGGAGAATGAAGTAAACAAAGGAAAAATTATCATATCAAAATAAAAGACAAGAAACACGATTAAATTAGGCTTCAAAAGACCCGTGAGAAACCCATAAAAGGCGTAATATGCATTTACCTGGTTTTTATTCTTTCATGATTTAATTTCTAATTTTATTCACTACCATCTGATAATTGCATGAAACACTTATGCTAACCATGCCGCAATTTAAACTATTTTAATTTTTATTTCAAGGCCACGAGACAAAGGAACCTATTTATTGCCTAAGGGGATTTTTTTTTTAACAAAAATTACAGCTTAATCTTTCATGTTTTAAAGCATAGATTGTTTAAAATCATTTATAATAACGCTGTAGGGAGACTGTGCCTGGGTATGCAAAACTGAAATGCTAAATTTACAATTATTAAAAAAAATAATGGTTTGGGGGATTGACTTGTCCCTTTCCTTTCAAGACGGATTGGTCTGAAGTGTAGGGGACAGCTTTAAAAACAGGGTAAAGCCAAGGCCTGTGCGGGACCCAAGCAATGGGGCATCAGTGCATTTCACAGATGGACTGAACATGATGGTAGGTCCTGTTTTTTATTATTTAAAAGCAAATAATGGCATTAGCCTTGGGAACTACTTCATACACCTTTTATTTCATAGAAAATTGCTCTGATGAAGTGGGGGGTCATGAATTCTACCAGCCGCATTTTCTGTGACTTGGAAAAAGTCCCTGGTGGAAATTAGAGAAATAATTTACTTTCACTTAAATGCCAGATTTTTTTGGTTATGCTTAAGAAAAATAATTGACATGTAGATTTAAAATCCTTGCTGCTGCTACAGGTCAGGATTCTAATGAAATACTTTCAGCTGTTATGCAAAGCATTGCTCAATAGAGAGGAGAAAAACCACTTTCAATGGTGCCCCAGCAGAACTTAGGGAAGGGCACAACGCCTCTTTGAGAGCAAAGGTAAGGACACTTTGCTCTGGGGAGAAGGAACACAGATCTCAAGACACATTTTCCCTTTCGTTAAGAGCTCAGGAAAAACCTGAAAATGGTCAAATGTGTTTAAAGTTCCTTAAACACACAGGCCATCTTCCTCCGCTGTCTGAGTACCCCCCACTGGAAAAAGGTTCCAGCGTCTTTGAGCTGCTGACCCTACTGGATGGAAAGCGCGTGGATCCAGGGACATGGCGGCCCCCTCCTCTCTGCTCCCGGCACCATGGCTTCCTTGCTGGTGAGGGATGGTGCCTGCCCTCCCACCTTCCCGCTTGCTTGCTCGCTCTGTCTTCACCTGAAGGCTCCTTCCCTAGCCAACCAGGTGGCCTCCAGCTCCCTTCACTCTCCACCACAGTCGGTCTGGTGTGTCCTCACAGCACCGCCTGGCCTGGCATATATGGGGGGCGCTGACCTGCTTATTTTCTGAGATCCCCGAACCAAGTGGAAGACGCCTGAGAACAGGGGGCACGTCTGCTCTGCTCCCCGCCCCCCCCGGCCCCCTGCACCCGGGCCAGGGCCTGACACCAGACAGCCCCTCGTATCTGTTATCTCTCAACTCCGCTGTCTACACTGACCAACTCACGTCCTGTGTGCACTTGACTTCTTAAACTGACAAGTCTTCTTTTAAAGAACGAAATATTCAAATATTAGTTCTGATTCCCCAGAGCCAAGGCACATTCCAGCCCAAATATCACAATGGGAGAACATATCTTAATAAAGTCAAATGAACTCTCACAAGCAAACAACAGGCCACACATATCATTAGCCAAAATGTCCACTTATGATAATGGTCCGTCTCTGGAATGGCAGAACAATTTCTATGTCACTACAGTACTCAAAATATCAAAGTTAAAGACTTTTAGGGCTGATGGTCCAAACTGTGGGCTAAATGGCTCCTTGCCATTTAAGGACAAATTTTCTTTTTTTCCCTACTTTATTACCAATAATTACCAATTATTTCCTACTTTATTCCCTTTATTACGATGTGGTCAGCTTCTGCTGGTTACTCTTGATAAAAGGAAGAGAAGATGAAGACCAAGGTTGGAAAAATTATAATTTACTTTTGCCAAATATAGCTAACATTGATTTGCCTTTTTTTTAAAAAGCTACTAATCCTCTTTATTTTTATATAAGCAAATAAAAAGCAATCAGATTATAATGACTTTCAGTTTTTTTCTCTCCAAGTAAAACAAGAGTTAAAAACATGAGCTTCTATGGTGAGCACTGTGAATTGTGCAAGACTGTTGAATCTCAGATCTGTACCTCTGAAACAAAGAATGCAATATATGTTAAGAAAAAAAAAAAAAGAAGAAGATAGCAGGAGGGGAAGAATGAAGGGGGGGAAATCAGAGGGGGAGATGAACCATGAGAGACGATGGATTCTGAAAAACAAACTGAGGGTTCTAGAGGGGAGGGGGTGGGGGGATGGGTTAGCCCGGTGATGGGTATTAAAGAGGGCACGTTCTGCATGGAGCACTGGGTGTTATGCACAAACAATGAATCATGGAACACTATATCAAAAACTAATGATGTAATGTATGGTGATTAACGTAACAATAAAAAAACAAAAACAAAAAAAACCACATCAGCTTCTGACTAAAGATACAATAAAATGTGTGTATGATACTTTGTGCTCTTTTAATGTAATCATTTCATAGTCCCCATAGGGGAGATAAACATCCTTATTTAAGAAAATGTTTTTCAATCTGATTTATAAAAAAGGTAAATCAGCGAGGTCAAATGTTTAACTTGCTTTTAAGAAAAGTCAGTACTATTTTTATAAAGGGGAATTTATGTCAAAGATGCCTATTTCTTTTTTTCTTCTTTAAGATTTTATTTATTTACTTGACAGAGAGAGTGCGTGCGCACAAGCAGGGGAAGCAGCAGAGGGAGAGGGAGAAGCAGGCTCCCCGCTGAGCACAGAGCCCAACACCGGGCTCGATCCCAAGACCCCAAGATCATGACCTGAGCCGAAGGCAGACGCTTAACCGACTGAGACAACCAGGTGCCCTGAAAAATGTCTATTTCTTAAACAGGGTCATCGGAGGATTTACTTAAGTAACAAGTTTATGTACTGCATTAGAGTTGTGACTTAATTTGCTGGAAAAAAACCCAAACAGCTGAAAGTTGATTTTTTGGAAATACCATCTACTGTGCCAAACGAGGCCCGCATATGGTAACGGTACATTTTGGAAGACATTTTAGAGAACCAAGTCAACACAGCTCTGTGCTACTGCTGGGGAGGACAGGGCATGCACGATGAGTTCCCCCGGCCTCTCCTAAATGTCCCTGCGGCGCGTCTCTGCAGCCTGGACTCGGGGAAATGTGTGCCATACCCAGGGTTTCATCACCAAGCCACAGGCTTGGCTTCTGAGGGGGGCACAGGCTCCCCGGGCGGCCCCACTGCTTCCTGCGGTCAAAAGCCTTAAGAAAGCCGGCCTGCCGTCTTTTTTGGGTTCTCCTGAAAGCGAGCCCCGCACTGGCCCATGGGAGTTTCTTCAACACCCCGCTAGTGTGCTGGGCAGAGCCGGCAGAGGGCCGTGGGCTTTGCAGGGCTGGGAGGGAGCCCGGCCAGCGCCCGGCCGTCCTCCTCCATGCACCCGGGGCGGGGGGAGCCTCGTCTATCAAGGCCTAGAAAATTCAGAGAGGAAGAAAAGCCAGCAAAACAGTTTTTAAGACACAAATCATGGTATCTAAGCAACCACATTATGTCTGGCTCGGATGAAAAGAAAAATGGCATCTGCTTTTGAATAAGGCGACAACATATCCGAAGAGAAAGACTTTAAATTGCATCGCCCAGAAGGCGACCGGGAGCCAACAACAAGGATTTTCCTCTCTAGACCGTGGGTTTTGAAAGCAAACGGGCAGGGGCAGGATGGAGTGGCTGCGAAAACAGGACACCGGAATGATTAGCGATGTTGAGATGCAGCAGAGAGTTCTTGAATGGCTAAGGACCACGACAAAGAGAGCCAAACACACAGGAGGGAGAGAGGGAGGCCCTTCCTGGAGGCGCCCGCTGGAGCGCTGACCGGAGTGGGCGGGGGCTGGCCACCAGCTCGGTGGTGGAGTCCCTCCCAGAACACTCTCTTCCTTGTCTGCCTGGGAAAATCAAACGCACAGGCCTTGGCGCTCGGGGTCTTTAAGAAACTTCACACGGGTCCAACCCCCCCACCCCCGATGCCCGCAGCCTGCGCTGGGCGCCGCCCTCCCCATGTCCCCAGAGGGAGGGCACCCCCTTACCGGGACTGGTGAGGGCTCCCAGGGCGCTGCTCGTGGTGGACAGAGGGTTTGCATTGGTGGTGGTGGCTGAGGTCTGGGCCGCGGCCGCAGCGGCCGCCAGCGTTGCCAGGTTCTGTAACTGCAGAGCATTCATGCCTGTGGAGGGAAGAGAAACGCCGCGTGAGCAAGAGGCCCGCTTGGCCGGGCTCCAAACATGAGGGCAGCCGGCGAGAGCAGGGGCCCCGGGCAGCAGGCCCTGCGAGGGCACGCTCTGCCCAGCTGCCTTGGTGACTCGGGCGCCCCCGCGTGTCCCAGCGGAGCCACCTACTGCGTGCCCGGCTGCTTGTCCGCACCCAGGCTGCGTCCCCGACCGCCCCCTCCCAGGGCCGCAGAGATCATCGGGAAAGACGAGGAAGATTCTGTGTGTGCGCTGGCTACGCAGCTGTCCGGAAACTGTGAGCCGAGGGCTGGGCGGCTGCAGGACGGGCCGCCGGGGAAGCCCACTGCTGGCACCAAGAAGGTTAAAAGCTCCTGCTCTGAACTTGAACTGCTGTGGCTTCCTGGTGCTGCCACCTTACCAGCTGTGGGACTCGGGGCGAATGGCTTCCCCTGGTTTCCTGCTTAGTGAGCAGCACTCCTCCCTGCTGCTCACCTCCAAGGGCAGGTGCCGCTTAAATGAGATGAAGATCGCAAACCGCTTAGCACTGTGATGGGCACAGCATCAACACCCATGTTAGCGACTCTTCGGATGTCCTCTCTCCACACTTACTGTAAACGTGAACCCTAAAATGTGACCACGGTAGGAACTCACCAAACATCTGAGGAATAAAAAAGTGAAAGAATAAAAACCGGCAATGCTGTCCTATTTTTATCTGTAAAGTGCTTGTATTTGCGTTTTCGTGTTTTAAAGAAGGAAAACGTCTTTAACCAGAATGGATCTCTGGCTAGTGAAAACGAAGAGAGCAGTGAAAACAGCAGAGAGAAGTGAAACTTTGCAAGAACACGAGGGTGGGATCAGCTGAGATCTGGAGGTGTCACCTGTCACGGGGAGGCTGCCTGGCCTGGGGGGGGGGGCTCGGGGGTGGTGCCCGCATCGCCTCCCCACCTCTGTTTCGCAACCCAAGGGTCTCTGAACATTCAGTCTTGTCCATGATTCACTTCACACTAAAGTACAAGCAGGCAACCATGGTTTTCTCCCTACACAGAGGAATTTTATACAGAAAGATACTAGCGTTAAGTAATCCGCTTAATTTTACTTTCTTCTCATGTCTCAAATCCAGGTACTTAATAAATGCCTACTGAGCAAATTTAATCTGCTTTAGAGAGACTGGCCAGATCACAGCTTCCTTCTGTGTTGGGGGTGGTGGTGGATGGAAGGGTGAGAGAATGTTCTAGCAACATACCTGTGAAAGCCCCTAGCCACGGGCGTGGAGCCCTCTGCCTAAGCATGGCTGCGAGCACCACTGCTAGGCTCACTTATCCTGCTCCTCCAGCCTGGCTGCCTCAGTCACAAGCCACTTTTACTCAGAAGAGAGTTCCTGATGTTTTTGCTGCAAAATGGCTCCTCATTTTGCTCAAAATGACACTCTGTCTTCTTCCAGGAGACATCCAGCCTTCTTGGCTTAGGGGGGAAGCCAAACACCTGTTTCTCAAAATCCACTTAGGGCCTGGGGATGCTTCAAAGCAGGACACAAGTTTTTGTGGAATCCTGCTAACCTCTGCAAGGGAAGTGCAGACTTCCACCAACCCTGTTTTCTCCAGTTAATGCAACTGGAGTGAGGACCAGTTCCCAGCCCCGACCCCCCACATTTCTGCTTTTCTTGATGCAAGAGGCGTCCCTTCCTTCACCCGGTCCTGTGTGGCCAGGGCCTGGGCTGCACAGCTTTCTCTGCTGGCGACAAAGAGCCACGATTTCCTAGAGGCCACGCCTCGGCAGGGGCGCCCATGGTTCTGAGTAGAGCAGGTGCCAGGCAGGCTTCTCATGCTTCACACGCGCTCCCTTCCTTAGTGTTCGTAACAAACCTGTGGGACCAAGTCACTGGTGGCCCTCTCCACACCACAGGCTGAGAAAACAGAGCCCGGAGAGGTCCAGCCCTGGGGAAGCAGAGCCTCTCACAGCGAGCCTGGCCTCTCCCTGCCACCGCGGCCTCCCCCCGATAGCTCCTTCTGGCCTTCTGGTTCCATCTGCAGCTCTTCTTCCCTCCTCTTCCTCAGGGCGCTTGCTCTCCACTTACTTCACTCAACTCTGCACCGTGAAATTTAGGGGGGATGGGGCGGAGGAGAGAAGGGTGGTGAGCACAAGACTTCCGAAGGAAACGTGCCTGGGGCACTCGAAGTCCACGTTGACCAGCTCCTCACACTGGCCACCGCGGCCCGGTGCGCGTCCGACGGTGGGCACAGGGGGAAGCTGCAGGGGGATGGCCGAGCCTGGCACCACCGGGCCTCAGTCCCACTTGCTGGCCTCCCGGGATCTGACAGGCAGCCTTCTCAGCGCTCCCTGCTTGGTTCGGGGCTCGAGTCCCCGCGAGCGAGGCCTGGGGTGCGTGGTCTCCAGCGGGAGCTGAGAACGGAGTTAGCCAGGAACCGGACCACACCTGTGTCCTGCATCTGGTTCTCTAAATCACAGAATCGATCCTTTAATTTCTTAATGTGATTTCCTTTTCCATCCATTACCAGAATCCCCAACATCACAGATCACTGGTTCCGGATTCCTCGGGGAACAAATGGGCCGTGACCTCCTTCTCGTGAGGACCGAGAGTGTTGCAGGGCTCTGTCCCTTCGGTGTGGTCCTCAGCTTTAGTCAGGGTTCTTAACCACCGTCCACCGAGGGGAGGCCGGGGGGCTGAAATCATGTGAAGAAGCGTGTGTAGCATGGGCACCATGTTCCTGGGGACAGAGCCTCGAGGTGAAGCAGCTCCCACCTACCAAGGGGCATGAGTCCTGGCAGAAAATCATCGAGCTGGAGGCCTGGGCTCGGGCAGCGGCTGTGTCTGGGCTGGAGTGGGGGGTCTGAGGAAACCAGGACTCGGAACGGACTGTGCAGAGGAGGGGAACCGAGGACAGAAACAGCTCTAGCTCCCGTTCTGAAGACGGATGCACAAACAAGACCGCGCAGGGAAGCCAGACGAGCCAGGGACTCTCTCGGAACTTCCAGGCTGAGGCTGAACCCAAGGGGCATGCGCACCGAGCCGGGACCCAGGAGCCTAAGGCAGCGGGTCAGCCCTCTCTGCAGGGCTCACTGTGGGCTGGCCACGGGGCAACAAGGCTCCCACTCCCTGCGGCGTGGCCTTCTGTCCAGCCCGATGGAGGCCCAAGGCTGGTCCTCTAGTGTGTCCCTGCAGGAAAACAGCCTCCCACGGGTGGTGAGGGCCCTCTAAATGCTGCTGGCCCACCACCCTGGTCACAGGGCCAGTCCTGGGGTACGCCAAGCGCCTGACAAGTTCCTCCAGGGCACAGGGATCTGGACCCTTCCGTGCCAACAGCACACAAGCCTGGTGGCAGATGTTCGACTCTTCCTGCCCCCTCCTGTGCTCCCACAGCCAGTGTGGACATCACACATACTATCAGTCCTATTGAGGGAAGGGCCTTGGGGGCCCATGCTGCTTCCGGAAAAGCCACCTGCTCTGAGTAGGGAAAGCAGCCCTGTAGCTACGCATGCGAGGCCCTCGATCCTCTCCCTCTTCAACCACACCAGACCGTCTGTGGCAACTCTGGTTCTCCGACGTCAAACATCTGCACACTCAAGCACACTGGCCTCCTCTGGGCCCAGCCAACACTGGTGGGGCTCTCTGCATCCCCATTTTGGTTCTTTTCTGTCGTTTTCTTGTGTCTTTGGGGTGTGCGAGCCACCCTGTTCCTTCCTCGCTCAGCTCCCTTCATGGACCCTCCGGGCTGTCCGCCCACTGGCCACCCTCTCTGTCACCCCCGCACGGTGATCTGGAGGGGGCGCCAGACAGAGCGGCCTGGCCAGGGAGCTGGGCCCCAGCCTGGGGAAAGGCTGTCTCCCAAGAAAAGCAACCGCTTTTAACCTCACCAAGCACTCTGCTCCGAGGGGCGCCACACAAACCAGGGGCAACAATCTGGGTGACTAGAAATACAAAACATTTAAATACATTTTATGAAATCCCACAGCATGCCAAGACCAAGATGGTAAAAAAAAAAAATTGGGAAATATAGGCATTCAACTTTTCATTCATTACTTGGGAAAAGAAAAATCCTTCTCCAGACGAAGAAATGATGTACAAAACAGATGTGCAATATGCCTACTTGAAATTTAAGATTTAAAAAAATTATTTATAAGGAGAAGGGCATGAAAATTTAATTTAATGTTCACCTTAGGTAATTTTGTGTCTTATTGTTCATAGCAATTACCATAAATCTGCATATCAATAAGTGAGAACAGATGTCAGTTGTTACAAGTGCTTGCCAATCAGGTCTGTTAAAAAGTGACAGATGGGTGGTTATGGAATGTTCTCATAAGGCCTATTAGCACATTCGCAGTGAGAGGGTGGGAGGCTCTGCTCCAGGAAGGCCTGGTGATCTTCTTCGCGAATCCAGAGCCCCCACCTCGCGACTCAGGTACCTCCAGGCGCAGAGACCCTCAGCTCTCCCGCGCACCAGCTTCTGCAAAGGTCACCCCCTCTTCTCCTCTTGTCCCAGACGTTCTGGGACGGCCTTCTGGAGAGACAGGATCCCGCGCCGAGGAAGGGAGAGCGGCTTTGCTGTTTTGAGCACTGTGCTGTACACTCTGTTACTTTTAAAACTTAGGCCAGATTTTCTGGAAGAGAATTACTACCAGCTTCGCGGACTCAGTGGAGTGCAGCGGTTCTGTCTCGTCCATCAACACGTAAACTCTTTTTGGTCGTAGCTCCGTAAATCCACAGATAAACTCTTCTTCTTTGTTGCTCTGTAAACGTTTAACTTCTTTAATGACGCCTCCGCATGCTGGGGGTGGGGAGGGGGAGCCAAACCAAAACTGCCCTAACAAAACCCAGCCCACTCTTAACACATGTGCAAGGCCTTCCAGAATGAAGGGAGGCCGCTTTCCTGTGCTGCTTCTCTGTGCACTGTTTTGGAGCGCGCTCTGCATTCCTGACCTATGGCTCGGGTTTGTTATTTGGCCCGTGAAACCATGTGCAGAGGAAGGTCACTGCAGTCTGTGTTGCGGAGACACGGAGCACCGGTTTACAGCTTTGGCACAGTCCGGAGCTCGGGTTCGGATGCGCCTGAAATTTGGACCTGCCCCTTTCTGGCGCAGTGACTTGGGGCAAGTTTGTTAATGACTTTCTAATCCTCGGTCGCCCCACCTGTGAAGCAGGATGCTCGTGCTCCCTGGGATCTCTGTATCTGGGTCTGTCCTGTGCCCTCGCCCGCTGCTGTGGTCTCACTGCGTTATTATTTAACACTTTTCTACTTCAGTTTTTTCAACGGCAGTGGAGTAACGAAGTGCAGGTTTTGTCCTTGGCACGCTGTGAGGATAAACTGCGTGATGATTTCAAGGAGCGCCGTTAAAAACAAAATTGTGAAATAGGACCCTTGCTTATCTATCTAGCATGGTGCTCTTTTGAGAGGAATGCGGTTAGAAGAGAAATTCATGACCGAAAAGTCACTTTTCCCTAATTCCTTCTTCTTCAGGGAAAAAAAAAAAATCCAGACTCTTAGCCCAAAGTTTCTGAGATTTCAGAAATTCATGGGACAAATATCACAGCTGAGTGAGAAATGGACAAGTTTTTCTTAGAGGTTTTAAGAGGGAAAATAAAATCAATCAACTTTAAGGATGCATGGAAAGTACAGGTGAAAGCATTCAGCTTCTAAAGATTTGAGCCTAATCTAGTTTCTGCTCTTAAATTCTATATTCAGTAAAGGTTCCCTTCTATAAAATCACGAAGCACATGTGAAGTTATTTTTAGTTTGAAAGGGAAATGGTAAATTATTTTGGGGAAACAAGTATAGTTGATGCCTCATTCCATTTTATTGAGACAAATACTTCATGACTTGTCATCGATAATTTTTCTCTTTCTTTTTTTGGCTTTATTTTCTGCTCAAACAGAAAGTGTTTTACTCATTCGAATGAGACATTTTAGACTTCAGTGATAAACTTCAATCTCCTGAAGGATAGACTGTTATATCTTGAGAGTTGTTCACAAAAAATTATTGCTGGTTTCTGAAATGATGTTTCTCTCTCTTTGGTGACAGCGTTCCAAGCCAGACTGCTTGAACTTTACAAGTGGAATTTATTTTATGGCGCCGTAAGACGTAAAAACTGCATTTGAATCATGCAGGTGCCCATTTGAACTGTGCCACAATCTCAGCCCCCCAACAAGCACTTTAACCTCAGGTGAGATTTGGGATAAGTGGCCTCTTGGATTTCATCCTATCGTGTCTACCGGATGTTATGGACCATGCGCTAGGTCACGTTTGATAGTGTACCAACTATTGCCAAATCCTCGACAACTCTACCGTGAAGATACCATCATTAGTTTATATGTTTTCTTGGCTTAGAAGGTAAGGCTAAAGTCAAATTTCTCAATTGAAAGAACAGGGCGTTTAACTTAAGCTTCCCTGGGAATATATCCAAAATATCAATTTGCATTTGTCGATTTATAAATGTAGTCAGTCACCCATCCACTCCAAAATAGTCAGTAGCACCTCTCAGCAGGGCCAGGCTGAGTGCCTCTTGGCTTGGGAGTGTTTGAGGAAAGTAAGGAAGGAAGGGCTTTAGGGCACCCCTCCCGTATTATGTGGGGTGTCAGGGAAGCCTCCTTTATTTTTTAAAGATTCATTTATTTTAAGAGAGAGAGAGGGGGAGAGATCGCGAGAGCGAG